CAATGGAACTGTCGAAAAATCCACACAAGGAGTTTTTTCTGAGTACTTTACCCTCGGAAAGTGAATTGTTTATAAAGGTCCCCGATATCGTATATGCCCCATATAACGGTAGCTTCCTATATTCAGTATTTTGATGATTTTAGCTAAATTTTTCAGTGGAATTGTCAAAAAATCCATACTAGAAATTCTTTTCAAGCACTTTACTCCATGGAATAGAAATGTCTATATAGGTCCATGATATCGCATAGCCCACTTACAACGGTACAGCCCGATATTCGATATTTGAATATATAACGACTATATTCGGAATTTTTAAGATTTTAACAGAATTTTTAGCGGATATTATTTATTTTGAAAATTTCCAAATTCATTCCAAATGGAGGGAGGTATTCAAGGATCAGCTTAGCCGAACTTACTGATTTTTTATTTGTTTGATTTCAATTTGAAATATATTTTCACTTTACATTTATTTTCAATTTTTCCTATTTCTGGCCATAGTTGGCAAATATTCATTTGGAAAACCTTACAATTAAACTATTTAACGCATTTTCACTCAAGTTGTTAATTTATTTAATCAAATATAAATAATATATTTATTTAATTTTTAAAATAAGAATGATATATTGATATTTACTTCAATAACAAATTGATATACGGTTCCTGTTAAATTGTATTTTTTCACCTCTTAGACATCTTTGTACAACTTAAACATTGTTCAAACATTTAAAAACGAATTTCATATCAGGAATAAATTATTACAAACTGTTTAAATCTGTCAACTTGTAAGTTGAATTAACTCTATATGATGAGGTTGTATCTAAAACGAATATTCAACAATTATTTCAGTTTTAATAACATAAAATTTAAATATTAATTAGTTTAAAGTAACTTTTTGCCTATCCCCTAACGAATTATTTTATATTTCATCATCATCTGATTACGTTACAATAAAATTTAAATTAAACGCGTTGTAATAAAAATGGAGAATGTTTTAGTAAAGTGTTCAATGTTTACTTTAAATTTAAACCTGTTTATGTTTTAACAACAAAAGAGAGGGAGATAGCGAGAGCAAAAGCATTAATCCACATTTCTGTCGCAGACAGTGAGCGGGTAGACAGGTACATATGCATATTTAATTTAACGAAACGACTACGTCACATAGGGTTCAATGTACCATAGTTTCCAATAAAACTAAATCACACACGCGGCTCTTTGAGTCATAAATGGACTTTGATTGATTCATTTAAATATTTACATAAAACTTTTTGGAAAAACTAAAACAAAGTAAAAATGAATGAATAACTTTAGTTACGTGATCCGGACAGAGACAGGTGGTATCCATTATGATCAAGATTTTTAAATGTTTGGCTCTCTATCTTATCTATAAAAACCAGTCTGGGACAATGATCAAAACATTTCAGCAGGTCCAATTTATTAAAATTAATTAAAAATATCAAGAAATAACTTTTATTTTACAGGCGTTGATTTTGAAGAAAGAAATTAAATTCATACGCAATTCTATTAGGACGACCTGTTTTAGTAATTTATACAAAATCTTTTAAATTTTTAAAGAAGGACGTTATAGTCACGCAACAAATTGGTACCATGGTACATTCACATAAATGGAACTTAGCACAAATGTTAGTCACCGATGGATGCTTTTCTTAAAACAATCTGTTCTTTGCGAGACTGCTTCTCCTTGCCAATAAGTAGAGGGTGAGATAAACAAAAAACTGCAACAAAGTCAAACGCCATAATTTTTACATTTTTTTTTAAATTTTATTGAATGAAAGCAAAAAAATGTCGGAAATAACATTAAATGTTAGAAGAAGTTTAGATTTATTCGAATTTGTCACCTTTGGCACGAATTTTGGCCTTCAAACGGCCAATGAAACGGTCACACGTTGCCCAAATGTTGCTCTGCGATGTATTGCCCCATTCCCGGCAATCACCATCTGAGGTGGTATTTTTTAGACACAATAGTCCAACGGATTGGTATCAGGAGATTTTGGTGGCCACTGTGCGCTGGAAATGAAGCGAGAAACCTCATTTTGTAACCATTCTTGGGTGCGATGGTGCTGAGTCCTGTTGGAATGTCCAAGGTCTGTGGCCAATATGTTTGCGTGCCCAAAGTTTTAATATACCCTCCAGAATATTTTAGTGATAATATTCGGTATTTATTCTGATGCCACGGTTGATTAAAATGAGCGGAGAGCGACCATCGGGTGTTATGGCGGCCCACGTTGTCACCATGACCGGCGCTTGAGTTCTGGGGGCCAACCGAATGTGCACATTTTCAGCTGACCTCTTTGGCAAGTAAACACGATCATTTTGTTTTATTTACAAACTGCTGGACAACGAAACTTTTCTCATCGGAGAAAACCAAATTCGACAGTTCACCACTTTCAGCCAAGCGGAGCAACTCTTTAGCTCTTTTGGGTCTATTTTCTTTTTGTTGCGGTGTAAATTCTTGCACTTTTTGAAATTTCAATGGAATATTGCGATATGTTCAGCTCACGAGCCATTTTTCGGCCACTGCGACGCGGGTTTCTATTAAGTCGCTTCTTTACTTTTCGAACCATTTCTGCTGATATTGCTATTTTCTTCCGTCCACTTCCTTGACGTAGGGCTTGGCTACGAGTATCACGGTAACGAGCTATGGTACGAGACATAAAAGTTTTATTCACATTTAAATGCTGGAGTGCTCTAACCATAGCTACTAGTGGTTTTCCAGCCAAATATAAAGAAATCACACTATCACGCTTGAATTCTATCACGAATAACTTCTTTTCTGGGAGATTATAATTGGCTGTCACTGAAATAATTTAAACAGCTGCGGCTTTGAAATGACAGCAGTCTAAAGTGGGTTGGTGTTTTTTCATCTCACCCTATAGCCTTTGTCAGTTTTTTATATCCTCCACCATAGTGTGGAGGGAGATTAAGTTTGTCATTACGTGTGTAACACCACGAAGTATACATTTTAGACCCTACAAAGTAAATATATTCATGATCAGCATAATATCAGCATATATCGATTTAGCGATGTCTGTCCGTCCGCGGAAATCACTCTGCTTCCGAACGAAATGAAGTAGATTGAGAAAATTTTACTCAAATGTATATTATGTCTACAGGACTTTCGGTATTGAAAATGTGCCACATAGGTCCACTTTTTGACTATGTTGATTTTAGCGACATTATTCACCGGAATTGTTTCAAATTTGGTATTTGAAGTACTATAGCACATAAGAGGAGATTGTTTGTGCAGATCCATGTTTTCGTATAGTCCCTATATAACGTTACCGCCCGATATTCCGTATTCACCGGAATTGTTTCAAATTTGGAATTTGAAGTTAGTAATGGATATTGCATCCTAAGACAGAAAATTGTCTGTTCAGGTTCACGTTTTGGTATAGCCCCCATATAATAGGTATCTCCCTATATTAATGATTTTAACTACATTATTCATTGATTTTTTCAAGTCTCGCATTTGAATATTGTAATGGCCTATGACAAAAATTGTCTATGCAGGTCCACGTCGTCGTTTAGACCCTATTATGACCGCTACATTTGGTATTTTTAAGATTATAACAGAATTTTTAACGGATTTTATTTTTTGGAAAATTGCCAAATTCGTTTTCAAAGTTCGCCCCGGTCGAACTTACAGCTTTTATACTTGTTTATGCTGATTTCGTTGACGAATGTAGCCAAATATCGAAGACAAGCAAATCATATAGATGAGTCTATGTTTTGAGATACAGAGGGGCCTCTTGCATTTGGAGATAATCGAAATTATTTACGGGATCAAATGAACCAATAACAGAACAATTTTCCTGATCACACAATTGAAAACACGACACGGAATTTTGCATGAGAAGTTAAGGGCAGGGAAGAAGTCTGCCATTCTGGATGACAATTGAATTATATTTCGCTTTAACTAACAGCACAACGGAGTGCGTAAATATTGGGCAAATGTCCCTGGTCAAAAAGCTAAGGTTAATATCTGGACAGTGCTCTATGAAATAATTTCAAAAGCGAAATCTTCCGAAATGCATTTCGATATAAGGGGACTTCTACCCTATTGTATATTGTATTGGTCGGCCCCGCACGAATATATCTTTTACTTACTTGTTTACATAGATATCTGCAAAATTCAAGTAGTTTCAGCTTTTTACTTTCTTAATTCAAATAATATCTTAATTCAAATAATATCTTAATTAATTAATAATATTAGACTTTGTGTAATAATCTTTTTAATTCGGGAAGTAAAAAATTTACTGATAACTTAAAATGCGGTATTCTCGAAATATAATTTTGTGAGATGTGACACTATTTGAGTAAACTTCAAAACTTTCAGTGTTTCAGGCAAAAAAGATCTTCTACGTAGTCGAAATATTTCCAATGATGATGTTTGACTGACAGATGTGTCCCAGCGACAAAGAGTTCCCCTTCTACTCTTGAAATTAAATGTGGTAGGTCAACTTTTGTATCTGGCTACTTGTATTTGGCTGTCGTTAACGTAGTCTAGTCTGTCAAAAAAGATTCAAATTAAAAATATTTCCGATTTACCATACTTAGTTATTAATAAGTTTATCAGACTTTGTTCCCCTCTTTATCTTTTGAGGAAGAGTTTGTGACGTATACTACATTCATGAAATTGTAATGAAATGGAAGGTGTTAATTATGCAAAAACAGCATAGAAGAAGAACAGACGATGGGCGAGATAGTTTTTATTAGCACAACAACAACCTAGGCGAAATGCCTACAAATTATTTGGAGCTATTCTGGAGAAACTAGTTTTAAGTTTGGAAACAAGAATTTTTACAACAGCAAAGAATGTTAGAACCAAGTTAGAATGTTTCAAATCGATTAGAATTTGCTAAGACGTTGAGAAGTAAAGAAGTTTAGTTTAAAAAAAAAGCGGAATGGCTTTGTTAATTTATTTGGTAATTTTGCTAACCATTGTTATATGGGCTATTCAAAGTTATCGCTCAAAGAAAAGCATGAGGGATGCTGTAAAAAATATAGGCGGTCCTTTTGCAGTACCCATACTGGGATGCATACACCTATTAGCGGAAATAAACCCTCAGAGTAAGAAAAAGGAATAAATTAAAAGTTTGATAAACACAATTCTTATATGTGTTTTCTCTTTAGATATCAAAGAGAAGGGTGAAGAAATATTTGATAAATACGGTCGTCTCTTGAAAATATGGGCCTTTAACCGCCTGCTCATTTGCAGCTCCGACGTTGAATTTAATGAGCAGGTATTTGCCAGTAATGTTCACATTTCCAAAGTGCAAATATATGGTGTTCTCCAGAACTGGTTGGGGCTGGGTCTTCTTTTGAGTGATGGCAAGAAGTGGCACTCAAGACGCAAGATCATTACACCAACATTCCATTTTAAGATTTTGGAACAATTTTTGGAGGTCTTCGATAGTCAATCAACTGTCCTGCTGGATTGTTTGGCCGAAAAGGCCGATGGCAAAAGTGTCGTGGATGTTTATCAATATATCAGTTTGTATACTTTGGATATAATTGCTGAGACGGCAATGGGTACCAAAGTCCATGCCCAGACGAATAAGACTATGGATTATACGACGGCCGTAAAAGAGTGAGTATGAAATTGTTGTGCAGATTTAAGTGAAAGTGATAAAGTTATAGTTATGTGGTGATGAACGGAATGCTTTCGCGGATTTTGCAAGCGAAATATAATAGAATTCTATTGCCTTTGGAGATGATCGCATAATATATAGGGGTTGAAATAGACCAAAAACAGAAAAAATTTCCTGATCACACAATTGAAGCCAATCAACATACATACCTGAGAAGAGAGTTAAGGACAGGGAAGAATTCTAGCATATTGGATGAGCATTGGATTATATTTAGCTGTGAAATGGACCACAACAACTAACAACACGACGGAGTGCGTAAATATGGGGCAAATGTCCCTGTTGAAAATGCTAAGGGTAATATCTGGGCAGTGCTCCGCTAAATAATTTCAAAAACGAAATCTTTCAAAATGGATTTGGACATAAAAGGGCTTTTAACATATTGTAGTGTTGTAGGGTATCTCATGGTCGGCCCCGCGCGTCTATAGCTTTTGCTTACTTGTTTCTTTTTAAATTTTATTGAATGAAAGCAAACAATGTCGGAAATAGCATCAAATTTTGGAATACGTTTACATTCGTTTGAATTGGTCACCTTTGGCACGAATTATGGTCTTCAAACGACCAATGAAACCGTCACACGCTGCCTAAATGTTGCTATGCGGTGTTTTGGCCCATTCCCGGCGAAGCGTTTGCTTGAGGCGATCGACACTTTGGTAATTTTTTGTGTCAACATTGCTTTCCTAAATTCTCCAGACACAATAGTCCTACGTATTGGTATCCGGAGATTTTGTAACCATTCTTGGGTGGCGCGTGCTGAGTGCGATGGTCCTGAGTCCTGTTGGAATGTCCAAGGTTTGCGTGCCAAAGGGTTTAATATTTTCACGATAATATTCGGCATTTATTCTGATTCCACGACCGATTAATACTAGCGGAGAATGACCATCGGCTGTTATGGCGGCCCACACTATCACCATGGCTGGCGCTTGAGTTCTGGTGGTCAACCGAAGGTGCACATTTTCAGCTGACCTCTTTGGCAAGTAAACGCGATAATTTTGATTGTTTACAAACTGCTGGAAAACGAATGATTTCTCATCGGAGGAAACCAAGTTCGGCAGTTCACCACTCTCGGCCAAGTGAAGCAACTCTTTAGCTCTTTGGAGTCTATTTTCTTTCTGTTGCGGTGTAAGTTCCTTCACTTTTTGGAATTTGAATTGCTCCACCCCAGCTTATTTTTAAATATTTTCCGAATGGAATATTGCGATATGTCCGGCTCACGAGCCATTTTTCGGTCATTGCGACGCGGGTTTCGATCAAGTCGCTTCTTTTAGAACCATTTCTGCTGATATTGCTGTTTTCTTCCGTCCACTTCCTTGACGTCGGGCTACGCTACCAGTATCGAGCGATGGTACGAGACACTAAAGATTTATGCACATTTAAATTATGGAGAGCTCTAACGATAGCCACTTGTGTTTTTTCAGCCGGAATATTTTTAATAAATCGCACACTTGAATTCCATCATGAATAACTTTTTTTCTGGAAAATTCTCATCAAAATGCTTTTGAAAGCTTGTAAACAATATAATGAGCTGTCACTGGAATAATTTTAACAGCTGTCGGACGAGTGGTTAGAAATGACCGCAGTCTGAAGGTTGCAGGTTTTTCATCTCACCCTGTACAGTGGTCCACTGTTTTGTATAACTCCTTATAAAGGAACGTTCTGATTACCGATTTATTGAATATCCTATCTAGACCTCCTATCTTTTCAAAAACATATATAGAAACTATATAAAAATTTGAACCGATTTCCACAAAATGTTATTAGTACCGGAAATCTTGTACAGAATTATGGCTTTGTGAGAATTAAATATCAAATAGCATTAAGCACTTATGCAGGAACTGTAACTATTATGTTTGTTCAAATGTTAATGCGAAATAAGTAAAAAGAACTTCCACCAATTTCAATTTGGTTCGTCTCTGGGCCATCCCAGTCTCAATCGGACGATGAACCTTAAAAGTTGTGTTTATTGTCCGATTAAGACAAACGTTGCACAGTCACGTAAATAATACATGGAATACAAAGAGCACTACAGGTCATACTCATTTGCATGTGTGACCAATAGCGTAGGGTATAAACAACACAGGGTCTATATTTGACCCAATATAGCAATATTTTTCCCGGCATCTATTAATAGAAACAATTTATCACTACCTTTAATTTTTTTACAAACTAATTTTACTGATGATTCTATATACAAACATTCCATCTATGACACAATATAGAATATTTAAATTTTAAATCGTCTAATATTCCAACAAACGCTCAGTAAGTTCAGAAAGTTTTTGTTATAAAATATTCATATCTGACCCGTTTCTATGCCTCTTTTAACATACTAATTTATGCCTACTCAATTAATTCAAATAACAAATTAAATAAAATGGTGTTCCAAATTTGATACCAACCAAAAACCATTTCGCATGGTATGCGATGGAACAACAAAGTTAAATGTATTTTAATACCAATGGCATACCATTTAAATATGGATTTTATTTTACGCAACATTTCAAATAACTCATTTAAAAGCCAATTTGCAAGTTGAGCACGTGGTCAAGAACGTTAGCTTAAACTTTTTAACGATTGCATAATTTAAAACTTATTCCTCAATAATTTTTTTATTCACAAAAATAAAAAACATTTGAAAAGAGTTTTGAAATTTATGTGAGGCAGAATATATTGATTTGACCATTTAAATTAATTCTGAATAACGATCTCACTTTTCCCAAGAATACTGTACGTCCATCTGCCAATGTATTTTTTTATAGCCTCAGCTACAGAGTGAGAAGATAAAACTTCAACCAGCTTCAGACTGCTGTCATTTCTAAGCCACTCGTCCGACAGCTATTAAAATTATTCCAGTGACTGCTCATTATATTGTTTACAAGAGTTCAAAAGCATTTTGGTGAGAATTTTCCGGAAAAAAGTTATTCGTGATGGAAGTCAAGCGTGATAGTGTGATTTCTTTATATTTGTCTGAAAAGCCACAAGTAGCTATGAGTAGAGCACTCCAGCATTTAAATGTGAATAAATCTTTTGTGTCTCGTACCATCGCTCGTTACCATATTACTGGTAGCGTAGCCCGACGTCAAGGAGGTGGACGGAAGAAAACGGCAACACCAGCAGAAATGGATCGAAAAGTAAAGAAGCGACTTGATCGAAACCCGCGTCGCAGTGGCCGAGAAATGGCGCGTTCGCTAAACATATTGCAATATTCCATTCGGCAAATATTGAAAAATGAGCTCGGGCCATTGAAATTCCAAAAAGTGCAAGAACTTACACCGCATATTTTGAGCTTAAGATCTCGTCACTTGGATAAAAAAGTTTTTTGAAATAGGAAATATTTTTAAAATAACTCCTGGGGAGAATATCCCAGACAAAAAACAAGGGAACTGATGAAGATTGGAGGCTCTTTCCGAAAACTAGGTATTCCCTGCCTTACCCCTTGGTAGACATTACGATCGTTCTCCGCTAATAAACAAACGTTGTTTTTATACAATAATGGGATTAAGCCTGACCATTTCGCAACAACATCTCTGTTAAAATCGAAAATATGCTGAATATAGCCGTTATATTGGAGTCTATGCGAAGACTTGGACATGCATAGGCAACTTTCGTCATAAGCCATTACAATATTAAAATATGCAACCTTGAATAAAAATCCTGTAAATAATGAAGCTAAAATCATCAAAAGCCGAATATATGAAAGTTACCGTTAAATCGGGACTATGCGAAGACCTGGACCTTCACTGACAATTTTCTATCACAGATTGTAGTAACTATTGGGAACTTCAAATAAAAAAAATCGTCAAAATACTGAATATAGGGAAATACTGATATATGGGGTCTATACGAAGACTTGGACCTGCATAGACAATTTCCTGTCATAGACTAAATGTCATTGAAAAGTGTGGCTACAATCATCAAAATGCCGAATATCGCGGGAACCGTTATATGGGGGTTATACGATATCGTAGACCGATATAACCCATTTTCGAACTTTATCTGCCTGCAGACAAAAGACTGATCTGTGCCAAATTTTAGCTTCCTATCTTTATTCATTTTGACTCTAGCTTGATTACAACCGACGGACAGGGTTAAATCGTCTTAGAATTTTAAGCTGATCAAGAATATATATACTTTGTTATGTCTAAAATTATTATTTCGATTTTCGGTATTTTGAAGGGTTCTGCCACAATTTCCAACCAAATCAACTGAAACGTTACATTTGGGGTTCTTGGTAGGTCTGTTCTCTTTTTAAAAACAAATGTTCGCTACACATCCACTAATTGCTATAGCCCCATATAACGGTACCTGCCAACTTTCGGAATTTTGAAGGTTTCTACCAAAATTTCCAACAAAATTAGATGAAATTTTACTATTAGAGTTCTCGGTAGGTCTGTTCTCTCTTTGCAAAAAAAGTTTGATTAGGGTCCACAAATTGGTATAGCCCCCATATAATGGTATCTCCTTTACTTTGATAAACATAGTGGTGGAGGATATAAGAGAAAGGCTTTCTTCTCGCTGATTTTAACGTTGTCTCCTTGGACGAAATTTGAGTTTTTATACCCTACAGCACTATGTGTTGGGGTATTATAAGTTTGATTGGGCCAAAAATTATGTAACACCTCGAAATATTGGTCTCCAAAATAGGAAACTATACTATGGATCTTCCTATCTCGCCGAGCTGAATCGATCTAGCTATGTATGTCCGTCCGTCCTTCTGTTCATGTTAATTTGTAATAACATTACAGGTCGAAATTATGGTCCGATCCTCACGAAATTTTGCATGGAAGTGGGGTGGGGGTCAGAATAGAAGCCTATTGTTTTTGGAGATGGTGGCAAGATATTTGGGTTGAATTGGGCCAAAAAAAGAAAATATTTCCGACTTTTCTCTATAGGCCACAATTATGAACCAATCGACGCATGGAGTTAAAGTTCAGCGCTGGGCAGAAGCTAACCAATTTGGATGTTAATCGGACAATATTTAGCGGTTAAAATAAACCATAACTTTTTGTCAAAAAAAAAAATACGAACATTTCCACGAAACTGCGAATATTTTTGATAAAGGCCAAATCACAAATACATTAAAAGGTCACTTCTGACCATTACAGTGATGCTAACAACCAAGATATCGGGTATGTAGCAAATTATTTACAATATATATGTAAAAGAAATTGATCTTAGTTATTCTCCTTATAAGTCAAGATCCGTTGGACAGATTTTCATAACTCTCGTCAATTGGGAATGGTCTCTTGCCAGATATGGATAACATCTAAGAAAATCGCATAAAAATGCGCCAATAAAAATGTGAATATTATTTGTTACTTTTTTTTTCATTTTTTGTCATATTTTTTATCGCATGAGATTTAATTTAACTTACAATTTTGAATTGTAATTTTTCTAAGGTTTTTCTACAACCTGCAACACAATTTGTTGAGGGTATTATATACAGGTCGCAATTATCGTGCGATGCTCACGAAATTTTGCATGGGCCAGGGTTGAAGATGTAGGAGTTCAAATGGAGCAAAAAATTAAAAAAATCCTGATTTTCCAGTCGTTCTATAGGTCACAATTAATATTTGTTTTGAATACCTAACAACACGAAGGAGTGCGTAAATATTCTGGGTGGGGCTCTACGACATCATATCAACAACTAAATATCTTCCAAAATGGATTTGGACATAAGAGGCCTATCAACATATTGTAGTGTTGTAGGGTATCACATGGTCGGACCCGCATGCTTACTTGTTATCGCATACGATTTTTATACCCTACACCACATAGTGGTAAGGGTATTATGTCTTTGTGCATTTGTTTGTAACATGAAGAAGGAAGCGAGATAGACCCATAGTTACTTTTGAGGATCTCCATAGAATCAATTTCTGAGTTGATTTATGCACGTCAATCCGTCCGTCTGTCCATGTATTCTTGTGAACAAAATGCAGGTCGCATTTATTATCCGATTGAGATGAAATTTTGCACATATCCAAGGACAAACCCTATTGAAATTGGAGATAATCGGTAAAAATTTAGATATAGCTCCCATATATATCTTTGTCCGATTTGCCTTTTATTGTGCACCAAACGTGTAATATAGTATAGAATTTTGCACATACAACCAAATTAGGCCTGAAAATAAGTATGCCAAATTTTATCGAAATCGGGTCAGATATAGCTATAGCTCCCATATATATTGTTCATCCGATTTGTTATTTTTGTCCTCCGCAGCTGTAATTTGCACTCTGTAACAACAATATTTGGGGAAATATATCAAATGCAGCTCAGAAATACCTTTGCTAAATTTTATCAAGATCGGTTCAGATTTGGATGTAGCTCCCATATATAACTTCGTCCGATTTACCATTTATTGTGCACCAAACGTCTAATATTTGTTCAAATGGGATGGAATTTGGCATATACGACCGAATTCAGCCAAATTTGAAGATCGGTTCAGATATAGTTATAGCTCCCATATATACTGTTCATCCGATTTGTTATATTTGTTGCCCACAGCCGTAATATGCACTCCGTAACAACGATATTCAGGGAAATATATCAAATACAGCTCAGAAATATATTTGCCAAATTTTATCGAGATCGGTTCAGATTTGGATGTAGTTCCTATATATATTTTTATCCGATTTCAAATTATCGTGCGATGCTCACGAAATTTTGCATGGGGCCAGGGTTACATTAAGGAGGGTACATTAGGGTACCTTAAGGAGTTCAAATGAGCAAAAAATTAAAAAAATTCCTGATTTTCCAGTCGCTCTACAGGTCACAATTAATATTTGTTTTGAATACCTAACAACACAATGGAGTGCGTAAATATTCTGGGTGGGGCTCTACGACATCACATCAACAACTAAATATCTTCTAAAATGGATTTGGCCATATTGTAGTGTTGTAGGGTATCACATGGTCGGACCCGCACGACCATAGCTTTTTATACCCTCCACCATACTATGGAGGGTATATTATCTTTGTCATTCCGTTTGTAACTACTCGAAATACTCATGTCAGGCCCAACAAAGTATATATATTCTTGATCAGCGTAAAATTCTAAGTCGATTTAGCGATGTCCGTCTGTCTGTCTGTCTGTTGTAATCACGCTATCTTTCGAACGAATTGAGATAGAAGGCTAAAATTTTGCACACATGTTTATTTTTTCAGTTGGCAGGTTAAGTTCGTAAATGGGCCATGTAGGTCCAAGAAATCATATAGCCCCCATATAACGGTACCTCCGAATATTCGGTATTTTGATGATGTTAGCGACATTAATCACCGGATTTTTTTTTTCAATTTCGTATTTGAAGTTCGAAATTGATACCACAACCTAAGACAGAAAATTGTCTGTGCAGCCCCCATATAACGGTACCTCTCGATATTCGGTTTTTTGATGATTTTAGCGACATTATTCAACGGAATTGTTTCAAATTTGGTATTTGAAGTTCGAAATGGATACTACAGCCTAAGACAGAAAATTGTCTATGCAGGTCCACGTCTGCGTATAGCCCCCGTATAACGGTACCTCCCTATATTCGGTATTTTGATGAATTAAGGTATAATACTCCTCGAAATTGATTGAAATGTCGTATTTGAAGTTCGTAATGGATGCTACAGCCTATGACAGAAAATTGTCTATGCTGGTCCAGGTTTTCGCACAGCTCCGATATAACAGTACCTCCCTATTTACGATATTTTGAAGATTTTAGCTACATTATTCCGAATTTGAATTTGACACCAATATAAAGGTTATATTCGGTATTTTTAAAATTTTAGCAGAAACAAAGAATTTGTTAAGCATTTTATTTCCAAATTCGTTCCAAATGGAGTTTGGCCCGGCCAAACTTACTGCTTTTTTACTTGTTCTTACTTGTTATCGCATACCATTTTTTCAATTTAACTTACAATTTTCATTTTCTAAAGTTTTTTTACACCCTACAACATTATGTATATTATGGTCCCAATTGTCGCCCGATCGCCAGTTACCCTACCTCGATGCAAAGTTTCGCGATAAGAATAGTAGCCTATTGTTGTGAAGATGTATATTTAGGTGTTCAAATGGACCAAAAAAAATTGTCCTAATTTTGCAGTCGCTGTACAGTTCACAATTAAAAACCAATCGACAAAAAAATTTACATGAGGTTAGAATTAGGGACAGGGTAGATGTCGAGCATTTCACGACTATAGGCTTACTTACTTGTTTAATTTTTGTAGGTGGGTGTAATGGAGATACAAAGACAGTGAGTCAATATATTCAGATTCGCAAAATTGATTGATCCTTTGTGGGGGAAACAGTAGAAGAAATGGGAATACAGTCTTCCATTTGAATATAACGTAATTCGATAAAGATATTACGATGTTTGAAAATTGAGGGAATTCACATTTAGTCTCAATGGGTACATAACTTCAATACAAATCTTTTTGTGTCTGTTGATAAATGTATCTAATTTATATCTAATCTATATTATTCCATTAGAATGACAGATCTGGTGAGTTGGCGCGTGCTACGTCTGCATCTGAACAGCGACTTGCTTTTCACAATTCTACATCCATTTAAGAAGATGCGTCAAAATCAGCTAATAAAAATTTTGCATAATTTCACCAAGAATGTCATTGAAGAAAGGCGCGCCTTTTTGGAGAAAAAGTTAAAACACGATTCGGACAACCTGATGGATATAAATGATGTGGGCTCGAAAAAACGATGTGGCCTTCTAGATGTTTTGCTACAATCGACGGTGGAGGGTCAACCATTGTCTGATGAAGACATTCGTGAGGAAGTCGATACATTTATGTTTGAGGGACATGATACGACGGCCTCAGCATTGAGTTTCTTATTGCATCTTCTCTCCAGAGACGAACGAGTTCAGAATAAACTATTAGCTGAAGTTCGTGAGGCCTATGGATATAAAGAAATCACAGAACCTTTTACACTGATGAATTTGAATGAACTGAAATATTTGGATTGCGTTATCAAGGAGGGTCTGCGGCTGTTTCCATCTGTTCCCATTATCGGACGTTCCATTAAGGAAGATTTTAAATACAGTAAGTAGTGATAATTTGGTTTTTCATTTTCAATATCTTCTTACCCTTTTTTCTGGAATTTTCTTTGTGTTTAGAACACTCGAAATATGGCGAAGGTGTTATACCCAAGGGAACAGAGTTGATAGTATCTTTGATTGCTACCTTGCGGAATCCAGAACGTTTTGATAATCCCCATGATTTTATACCCGAACGTCATGAGAATTCCGATGGACGCAACAATTTGGGAGCAAGTGCTTTCAGTGCTGGCGCTAGAAATTGTATTGGTCAGAAATTTGCTTTGTATGTCATGAAAATTACCATGGTAAAACTAATTCACAAATATGAATTTTTACCATTGGGTGAACCAATACGACCCATTGTAACAATTGTTATTCGATCTGAGAATGGCATGCAGTTGGGTTTGAGAGAACGTGTTGCTTAGGTTTAAGAAATGTAAACATATATATATTATTTTATATTTAGGCTTTGTTGTGTTTTTAGTGAAAATAAAAATGATTCGTTTATAATTCGTATATCCTTTTTACTTTTGCATTGTTCATCTTCATTTAGTTTTAAATTAAAAAATTGTAACTGTAGACTGTTAGTTTTTGTAGTAAAAACTACTTCCATAGGTTCTTGTTGCCATAAATCATCCAAATACCTAATATCGGTGATAAGATTATATGAGAGCTAGTTCTACGCTGATCAAGAATTTATACATTTTACTATGGGGACAATGGTATGTTTTTGAGGCAATAAGTCACAGGAACGAGGTAGACTTTCCAAAGTTAATTTTTCGATGCTGGTCATGATGAAAACAATATATCTACCAAATTTCATCCGAATCGGCAAGAATATAGATATGGCTTCCCTATATATTCCCCTCATTTTTTTTTTTTTTGTTTTTTTTGGAGATGATACATCAACCGTGATATTTTTGTCTAATTAGGTTTTGTCTTGGATCATTCGATGAAATTCCGTCAAGATTAAATTAATGTATCATATTGTCGGCCCAGCCTGACTTTTATTTTTTCCATACTCGTTAAAATATGTATATGACTCTGCCTTAATTCAAAAATACCTGTACAGGGTGAGATAAAAAACTGCAACAAAGTCAAACGTTATATTTTTACATTTTTTCAATTATATTGAATGAAACCAAAAATATCGGAAATAGCGTCAAATTTTAGAATAAGTTAAGATTTGTTCGAATTGGTCACCTTTGGCACGAATTATAGCCTTCAAACGGCAAATTAAACCGTCACACGCTTCCCGGTGAAGCGCTTGCTTGAGATGATTGACACTTTGGTATTGTTTAGTGCCAACCTTGCTTTCCAAAATACTCCAGACACAATAGTCCAACGGATTGGTATCCGGAGATTTTAGTGGCCATTGTGCACTGGAAATGAAACGAGGAACCTTATTTTGCAACCATTCTTGGTTGGCGCGTGCTGAGTGCGATGGTGCTGAGTCCTGTTGGAATGTCCAAGGTCTGCGGTCAAAATGTTTGCGTGTCCAAGGCATTTATTCTGATGACACGATCGATTAATACGAGCGGAGAGCGACCATCGACTGTTATGGCGGCCCACACCATCACCATGGCCGGCGCTTAGGTTATGGTGGCCAACCGAGGGTGCACTTTTTCAGCTGACCTCTTTGGCAAGTAAACACGATCATTTGTTTACAAGCATTTTTCTTTCAGTGCACTGTTGGAAGAGTGGATTAGAAATGACAGCAGTCTGAAGTTGGTTACAGTTTTTTCATCTCACCCTGTATGTCTGGCAATATTTGTAAATATCGGTTCAGATTGAAATATAACTCCATATGTATTTTCTTTCGATTTCAATTTTATTGAACGCCATATGTGAAATATTCTTCCAAATGGCATGTATCTCGACACATCCGGCCGAATTGAGCTAAAAAAGTTCTTTAAATCATAACATATTTGGTACAAGATATCAGATATGGGCGCAGAAATACCTATGCCAAATTTTATGAATTTATCCTGGAAGCAAATACGACATTCGTTGAAACTCGGTTCCCATCTATCTATTGCTCAGATATACATTTTTTAATACAATCCTTCTGGTAGTCATTTTGTGACCTCTATAGCAACGTTATGTGGTGCAAAAAGAACAAATGCCTCTGTAAAATTTGGTTGAAGTCGATTCGGAGTTGGATATACATCTTGTATATTACCTCGCTCTGATTCCAGTTATAACTGCTCTAATAAACACCATAAACGCATTCAAAAAAGGTTCATAAGTGGTATGATCTACTTCACATAACTTCCCAATGTAAATATGCATAGTGGTGTAAGGTATCATAAAGTCGGCCCCGCCCGCCTTTATACCTATATACACGGTTTGACAAACATATTTAATCAAAACTTCTTCACTTATTATTCAAGTTTTTCCTTTTTCGGAACGAATGAAATCTATCGAGGATGATATTAGTAAAACCATTGCCCACTGGATCCACACCAAATGATCCCGTCCTAATTTATTTCAACGTCTCCTCCTGTAAACCCTAGAAACCAACAGTGACTTCAGTATAAAGTTTCAGAATATCAGTTATATCCCTTCATCCAATACTAAATTTAGTAACATTTATTGCGCATATCCGAAACAATTTACATCTCTCCATGCTAGACACCAACAGTGATCTAAAATATTCGAACAAGTATTTAGAGGACGCAAATCACAAACATAGATGCCACAGTATTTCTCATATCAAATTTCAAAATTTTATTGTTATCCCTTCACCTAATACCAAATATACACATTTCCAAAACCATCTCTTTATCACAAACATATCACCAACAGGGACCTTAATACAAAATTTCAAAAGTCCAGCTTTATACGTACATCCTAAACCAAACTGTTCCAACTCCAAAACCACCTTTATATATCAAACTTAATTTCCAATCTTGATTCTCATTTCATGCTTTGTTTGTTCACATAATACCAAAGTTTATTACCGGATGTTTATTACCATTTTAAATCTTTTGGTGACCTTGAAGTTTGAATTTCTATAAACCCTTTGCTACATCTATCCTGCACTCCATCGGCAATTCTCATTCCAAATTTCAGAATTGTAGCTTATTACAGTATAAAGTATTAAATTGTCATAACATTTTTCGTACCCATTTAGTATGTACTTTCAAAAACCCAGCCTTATCACACGCCTTCGCACCAAGGCTGACCCTCGTGTCAAATTTCAAGGTTCACCCTATCGTCAATATGGTCCGATATCGACCTAGGTTTAGGGTAATCTGAAGCTGCAAATTTTTGCAAATCATCTCAAAATATTTAGGCATGGTTTTGCAGTCACTTTACAGGTCACAATTATAGAACAATCGCCATCGAATTTTGTATGGTCACGTGGCTTTTACCAAAAACATATACATATTACACGTTTGGAAAAATTTTTAAGTAGTTAAATTATGTATCCAAAAATTATAAATTAAATTAAATTATTTTTTCATTTCAGTCTGAAGGGCAGAAAAATTACGGCAAATTGTAGTGGTGTAGGGTATCACATATTCTGGTTCGCCTGTAAGCATATATTTTCTTACTTGTCAATCTATCGATTATTTTAATGTGTTTTTATTTGTCATTCCGTTTGCAACACCTCGAAATATACATTTTAGACCCGGCCCCGATATTCAGAATTTTGATGATTTTAGCGGCATTATTCACCGGAATTGTTTCAAATTTGGTATTTGAAGTTGGTAACATATACTATAGCCTAAGACAGAAAATTGTCTGTGCAGGTCCACGCCTTCGTATAGCCCCCATATAACGGTACCTCCCGATATTTGGTATTTGTGTGTATAGGTCCACTTTTATGTATAGGCGGGTACCTCCCGATATTGAGTATTATGACGATTTTTACAAAATTTTTCCAAGGATTTGTCTAAAAATTGGTATTTGTAGTTCGAAATGGGTCTAGCTCCGGTGGTGCAATATGGTAAAAGAGGTTCACGTTTTAATATTTGATGATAATTTTTGCTACATTTAACGATTTAACGATAGCCAGACCCTAGGTCTCTTTGGACCAAATCCGTTTCAGAACATTTGGAGTCGATCTACCGATATCCGTCCGTCCGTCCGTCTGTCTGGCTGGCTGGTGCGCACGATAACTCTCGAAGGGAGTGCCTGATTTGACCCAAACTTGGTACATCGCAATATTTTTGTCAAACTTAGATCGAGTTCGGCGATGGGCAATATCGATCCACTCCTTCTGGTACCTCCCCCACAAAATGTCAAAATTTTCAAAGAAAATAATGTATTGCACCGAAAGAGAAAGGTTTGTCCGATATTCCTCGAACTTTGCGAATCCTAATATCAGTTCTAGGTCAGGTGCGAAAATGGACAATATCGGTCCCATCCATCAGGGACCTCCCCCACAAAGGGTCAAAATTTTGAATAATTACAACTCTTATGAAATGTGATGTAAGAGTCCGATAGTCTTCAAATTTCACACATCGCAATAATTTTATTAGCACAAGGTCTGGTGAGCAAATGGAATGTATCGGTCCACTCCTTCTGGTACCTCTCCTACAAAGTGTCGAAATTTTGAATACCCATGAAGATCATAAAACGCCAAATTAAGATCCAATTCCATTTAGACTTGGCACATTTCAATATTTCTATCAACACAAGATCTGTTATAAAGGTGGTATAGATCGAACCATTTCTTCTGGTACCTCCCCTATACATAGGGTTCAAGATTTTGAAAAACAAAACGCACAAATAAAGCTAAATAAGTATCCAACTCTTTTCAAATTTCACACACACAAATATTTTTGCTAACACAAAATCTGTTGTGAAGTTTATATATATCTGCGAACCCCTTCTGGTACCTCATCCACAAAGGGTCACAATTTTCAATAATTTTATCTGTCTAACTTTCGAAACAATTTAGCAATTCTTTACCTCTTGCTATGCTCAAATATTTCTCTCAATAAAAAGCCTGATATGAATATGAAATTTATCGGAATTTATGATTTCGCATAAAATTTGACATAAATATATTTTCTTATAATTTTGCCCATATTTGGCTCAATATTGTTTATTTGTATCAGATGAAGTATAAAAATGGAATATTTCGGTAGACTCTATATGGTACATCATAATATATATAATACATACCAGAAACGTTGGAACATTTATATCATATTTTTGAGTCTGATACGAAATGGACAATATTGGCCCATTCCTTCAAACATTTGAATAATTGTAACACTAGTCAAATATATTTCAATTATTTAATCGAACAAAGGCTGAGGGTATATATCTGCCGGCAATACCGACTGATACTTTTTAACTTGTTTTGTCTTTATTCGTTACATTTTTTCAGCAATCTTAGGCTATAATGGCAATTGTAACATGTTTAACGAATTCAAATGATAAATTTCAAACAAAATCGTTCAACAGTTTTAGGTCTGCTGGAAAAGGA